CAAACCCATCCGCTGCTCCTCAGAAATGCTATACAGGGGTGCTATAAGTCAGAACCAAATCAACAGCACTTACAACAACAAACTGTGAGAAAATAATTTTTGTTCATTAAATAAATAAAGCAGTGGCATTAGGATCAGAAGACTCGTCAATAATCGATAGTATACAGATGACACAACCCTGCTTGCTGAAACTGAAAAGGACTTGAAGCACTTGCTGATGAAGATCAAAGAATACAGCCTGTAGTATGGATTATACATCAACACAGAGAGAACAAAAATGGTCACAATTGGACCAATAAGCAATGGCATGCTAAATGAAGAAAATATTGAAGTTGTCAAAGATTTCATTTTACTTGGATTCACAATCCATGACCTGGAAGCAGTAGTCAAGAACCCAAATGATGTATTTGCATTGATCAAATCTGCTTTAGTGTTAAAAATCTTTAGTGCTAAAAAGCAAAGATGTCACTTTGAGGACTAAGGTGCCTCTGGATCCAAATCATGGCATTTTCAATTGCATATGAAAACTGGAAGACTGAAGGAGAAGGGATGCCTTTGGTAGAGAAAATCTAATCAACTATGGACTGCCAGAAGGATGAACAAATCTGTCTTAGAAGTTTAGTCAGGATGCTCCTAAGAAGTGAGAATGGCAAGACTTGATCTTAGTACTTTGGACATGTTATCAAGAAGGATGCATCTCTGGTGAAGGGCATCATGCTTGGTAGAGGGCCAGTGAAAATGAGGAAGACCCTCAACAAGATGAATTGACTTTAATTGCAACAGTGGGCTCAAGCATAGAGACAATTGTGAGGATGGCCTAGGACAGGGCAGTGTGTCATTTTGGTTTACACAGGACAGGGTCTTTATGAAATGGAACCGACTGGAAGGTACCAGATAATTACAATGTGCTCCATCACTTGGGCTGTCAGTTTTTTGTACTGTGGTGGCTTGCACGCTGCTGTGATGCTGGAAGCTACGCCCCTGGTACTTTAAATGCTGGCAGAGTCATATGTGGTGGACTAGGAAGTAGGAGAAGCACACTAATTCCGAATACGTAGTCACTGAAAACCTCATAAGTAGCAATGGAACACTGTCAGATAGCACCAGAATAGTGAATATTGAAATAATAAATAGTATTTGAACACTGTCAGATATAGTGCCAGAAATAGAGCCCCTCAGGTTATAAAGCACTCAGAATACAACTGGGGACGAGCTGCCTCCTCAAAGTAGAGTTGATTCTAATGACACACATGAAGTAAGGCTTTTGGGACCTTCATTTGCTGATGGGGCATAATACCAAATGAGGAGAAAAAGTTGTAAATAGCCATTAAAAATCAGAATATGGAATGCACAGAGTATGAACACAGGAAAATTGGAAGTTGTCAAAAAATGAAATGGAATGCATAAATATCAATATCTTAAGCATTAGTGAGCCGAAATGGACTGATTTTGAATCACGTGGCTTACTATTCTAGGAATGACAAATTGAAGAGGAATGGCATTGCATTCATCATCAAAAAGAACACTTCAAGATCTATCTTGAATTATAATGCTGTCTGTGTTAGAATAATATCCATGTGTCTCAAGGAAGACCAGTTAACACCACTATTATTCAAAATATGCAACAGCCACTTAAAAGTCAGTTATGATGAAATTGAAGAGTTCTACCAGCTTCTTCCTGGTGTGGCACTGCAGAATAATGCACTACCACATGGTCGGTTTGAACCACAAGGTTGACAGTTCAAACTCACCAGTCTCTCCTTGGAAACCCTATGCAGGGTTGCTATGAGTTGGAACCTACTCCATGGCACTTAACAATAACAACAACAACAACTAACTTCTTCAGTCTAAAATTGATCAAATATGCAAACAGTATGTATTGATAATTACTGGCAGCTGGAAACAAAGAGGAAGGTTCAGTAGTTGGAGAATATGGCCTTCGAGATAAAAACATTGCTGGAAATTGCATGACAGAATTTTGCAAGAAAAATGATTTCTTCTTTTTAAACAGCATAAAAGATATATGGGCCTCACCAGGTGGGATACACAGAAATCAAATTGACTACATCTGTGGGAAGAGACAGTAGAAAGGCTTCATATCATCAGCCAGAAGAAGGTCAGGGGCAGATTGTGGAATAAATCATCAATTACTTATATGCAAGTTCAAGCTGTAGCTTAAGAAAATCAAAACAAGCCCACGAGAGCCAAAATACCACCTTGGCCATATCCCACCTGAATCTAGAGACCATCTCAAGAACATATTTGATGCATTAGACACAAATGACAGAGAAACACAAGAGTTGTGGGATGACATCAAGAACACCATACATGAAGAGAGCAAGCGTCATTAAGAAGGCAAAAAAGAAGGCAAAGACCAAAATGGATGTCAGAAGAGATTCTCCAGTGTAGAGATGTTAACGCAAATGGAAGAAATGAGGAGGTAAGAGTTGAACAGAAAAATTTGAAGGGCAGCTCAAAAAGACAAGGTCAAAGATTATAATGAAATGTGCAGAGACCTGGAATTATAAAACCAAAAGGGAAGAACAAATTCAGCTTTTCTTAAGTTGAAAGAATACAGGGAAAAAAACCAAGCCTCAATTTTCAATACTGAAGGATTCTTTCAGCAAAATATTGAATGATGCAGAAAGAATCAAAAGAAGATGGAAGGAATACACAGAGTCACTGTACTAAAAAGAAATAGTTGATGTTCAAGCGTTTCAAGAGGTAGCATATGATCAAGAGCCTATGGTACTGAAGGGAAGAAGTCCAAAGTGCACTGAAGGCATTGGCAAAGAACAAGGCTCCAGCCCCAGGAATTGATGGAATACAAATTGAAACCTTTCAACAAAGTGATGCAGCACTACAGGCACTCACTCATCTATGCCAAGAAATTTGGAAGACAGCTACCTAACTGGAAGAGATCTATATTTGTGCCCATTACAAAGAGAGGTGACCCAATGAAATGTGGAAATTATTGGACAATATTATTAATATCATATGCAAGTAAAATTCTGCTAAAGAATTAAAAAACAACTGTGACAGTACAACCAGAGGTTCAATTACTCAGACGACAACATGGAACAAGGATATTACTGCTGTTGTCAAATGGATCTTGACTGAAAGCAGAGACTATCAGAAAGATGTTTACCTGTGCGTTATTGACAATACAAAGGCTTTCGGCTGTGTGGATCATGCCAAGCTGTGGACAGCATTTGGAGAATGAATATTCCAGAACACTTAATTGTGCTCATGAGGAATCTGTACCTAGACCAAGAAGCTGTTGTTGTAACAGACCAAGGGGACACTGAACGTTTTAAAATCAGGAAATGTGTGGGCCAGGATCATATTTACTTTGTCTGTATGCTGAACAAATAGTCTGAGAACCTGGATTATATAAAGAAGAATGTGGCATCAAGTTTGGAGGACAGCTTATTAACAACCTGCAATGTGCAGATGAAGACAGCTTTGCTTGCAAAGAGGGCTTAAAATACTAATGAAGATCAAAGACCACAGACTTCAGTATGGGTTGCACTTCAATGTAAAGAAAACAAAAAAAATCCTTACCATTAGACCAATAAATACCATCATGTTAAATGGAGAAAAATTAAAGTTGTCAAAGAGTTCATTTCACTTAGATCTACCATCGACAGCCATGGATGTGTCTGTCAGTCAGGACAACAAACGACATATTGCATTAGGTAAATCTGCTGCACAAGACCTCTTGAAAGTGCTAAAGAGCAAAGATGTCAGTTTGAGGACCAAGGTGCACCTGACCCAAGCCATGGTATTTTCAATAGCCTCATATGTATGTGAAAGTTGGACAGTGAATAAGAAAGAATTGGTGCATTGAGTTATGGTGTTGCAGAATGTTGAAAGTACCATGGATTGCCAGAAGAACAAATGTGTGTTCAAAGAAGTACAGCCAGAAAGCTCCTTAGAAGCCAGGATGGGGAGACTTAGTCTCTCATACTTTGGGAATATTATTAGCGGGGACCAGTCCCTGCAGAAGGACATCACACTTGCTCAAGTGGAGTGTCAGTGACAAAGAGGGAGACCCCCCTCAATGAGGTGGATTGGCACAGTGTCTGCAGCAATGGGCTCAAGCACTGAAGTGACTGTGAGCATGGCGTGGGGTAGGGCAGTGTTTTTCTGTTGTGCATGGGGTCGCTGAGTCAGAAACAACTGGATGGCATTTAACAACAATACAATATGCAAGGCACAGGAGTTATACCAAGACGATAGAAGTAAACTACTTGTAAAGGGGAAAGGCCACTCCCTTTTCCTAAACTTCATCTCACTTGGACTGTCCAAAGTCAAAAAACTGCTGATAAACATGTCAGTTTTGTCTACTTCTGGAGACATGTGGGGAAGGTGTTAAAGGGATTAAGAGAGAAGAATTCGTTTCCTCGTAAAGCACTGTTCGGGTTTTAGGTAGCAAATTGCTCACAAATTAAGAATGGAGGGCAGAGATCCAACACTGGGGTCAGGATGGAGCTGACATTTCCCTCACGGTGTGGGTCTCCAGACTCAGGTCTCCTTCGCTGTCAAAGGTGCTCCGCAGTCTTGGCGTGAGGTCTTTCTGCGGCACAACTGCCTTCAGGGGCCAGCGGGCGCACTCTCAGCCCCCTCCCTTTAGAGAAGCTGCGCGGGAACTCGTGCAGAGCCCTCGCAGGGAGGGGCCTGGCCCCCAAACCCGGAAGCCGCCCTTAGCCTAAAGCCAGGCGGGCTCCCCTGGAGGTTTCCGGCTGCGGGAGTCTCGGGCGGCGCCCCACTTGGCGTGTGGGGTGCGGCTGCCCCCTTTCGGCGTCCCGGGGAGACGACCCACCTGCACGACCTTGCGACCCTTTCAGCGCTCTAGCCTCGCTATGCGAGTTTTATTATTATTATATTAATATTTGTTGCTATCAGCTAACAATATCTCAGGCTCTCAGAGCGACCATTTTTTTTTGAAAGAGGAACGCAGAGTAGTAGGGGGGAAAAGACTCACGTGTGAGGTAAAGATGGAAGAAGACGTCCAGGACTCAGACTTGGACAGTGATGAAACTGTGATAGAGGGGTCGGTGACAGACAGCGACGTGGAAGAAGAGGAGCTGCCCTGGAGAAGGTGAATTCTAATAAGGTCCGAGTACGTGCAGCCTCGTGCTCCCCTGGCGGGGAGGTAGCCCTGAGGAGCGCGTCTGCGTTCTGAGTACTTTGTTATCAGGAGGCAGTATGCTTGCGGGCAGGGGGAAACTGAGCTAGGCAGTCCTGCCCCTGCTCAAAAACCAAACCAAACTCACTGCCATCAAGTTGATCCGGTGTCTTAGTCTACAGACTCGAGTAGAACTGCTCCACAGAGTTTTCGGAGGTTGTAAATCTTTACGGGAGTCCTGGTGTGGCGCTGTGAGTTAATGCGCCAGACTGCAAAGCCGTTTGAACTACAAGCTCGGTGGTTCAAGCTCACCAGTCGCTCCCTGGAAACCCTATGCAGGGTCGGAACCGAGTCGACGACACTTAACAACAAACAAAAAATCTTTACGGGACGGAT